ACTAACTTACTAACAGTACTTTCATCTGCGCATTTTATATATTCCATATGAATTCTATCTGATCCTGGAGACTTACCATTACACGAAAATTTAATAATATTCATAATTTCTTCTTTGATAGGATGATGATGATGATGGTCCCACCTCTTACCCCTACAAAGGTTTGAGCTGGACGATTTATCTTTAAGATAATTAAATATGACATTTTAACCAGGTTAGCAAACAAAATCGAACTGGTTTCAGCTACAGATATAAATTCCCTCTAGAGTTTACATTTGCTTCACAGCGATATGTGGAAAAGCTCAGGCGTCCATCTCTTAGTTCACCTTTTTGTCCACCTAAAATATTCATAAGTATTACATGCAATCAAGAGTTAACGAACAATCAACCAAACATCCTATTACGTTAACAATCCCGCAATCTGATGCTATCATAATTTTCAGCAATGTCAGGAATGCTCACGAACCCCCAAAATTTTTTTAGAAAACTTACTACTATCTCAAGATATCTTCCAAATAAGCTTCAAAATTGCATTTTTTTTTTTATCAAATGTTAAATTCAGTCCTCTATATCCGTAGTACGCGCGCGAGGCTCAAACTTTTGTAGACTACTTTAAATCTACTACTATTAAATCAAATATTAAAAATCCACCTTCACCATCGTGGCGAACAAAAATAGTTTTTGCAGTGCTACAATATTTATTAAAACGTCATTATGACAGCTATCCATACAAAATAATCCGTTAGAGATAACTTCGTCAAGATACATAATTTGTCAATTCATTAAAAAAAATACTGGATAACTGTTCAAACGACAGTTTTAACGTATGTAATGCAGTGTCTTTTAAATCCTGTAAGTGTTGCTGAACGTTTGATATGCCTAGGCATCGAATTGCAAACAATTATTCCTTTAAAATAATATGAATTTTGCGAAGCACAAGTCAATATCTATGAAAGTCACTTCCTCTTTCAATTCGATCACACACATATCGAGGCAGCAAACTGTTAACTACTTTAAAAATGAACACCATAGTCAAATAAACAATCCTTTGCTTCACCGACAACCATTGTAAGGCATCAAAGTTGAGAAAGTGAATCTCTTACATCTCAAAATCAAACGCATTATTTTATTCTGCAAGCGATGTAATCTCGATATTTGTGTTTCATTGGACATAAATGAAATGAAAGGGTAAAAGTATAGGTGAGGAGAGATGATTGATTTATATAGCTGTATTTTACTGGCAATAGTTAAATCGTTTTTCAATCGACATAGACTTCCATACTTCTTGGCAATTTTATTGATGACATTGTCAATGTGAGAGTTGAACTTAAGTTTGTCATCAATAATCACGCCAAGATATTTAATCTGCTGAACGCGATCAATAGTCTCATCATCAACTACAACAGAAACATTCTCATTTAATCGATTCCGCGAAAATACCATAAATTTAGTTTTACTTGTATTCAATTTCAACTCTTATACTTCAACCATTTACTTAGAGAACGCAAATCTTCATTCAAGTGTAAAACGGCATCATCTAAATCCTTAGCTGCGATGAATAACACATTATCATCTGCAAAAAGATTAATATCGCAAAATCGTAAAACACGTCGCAAGTCATTAATATACATAATAAATAACAGGGGCGCTAATACACTTCCCTGGGGCACTCCAAGGTTATTCCCCACGGGACTAGAAACAGAATCATTAAAAACAGTCCGTTGAGTTCTGTCAGACAAATAGCTTTCAAATCATTTATATGCAGTACTCGTAAATTCCAAAGCGCTTGATTGATCTTAACAAGGAGGATTTGGTAGGGGGATATAATCTTGTACTTCGCATAGTTCTATTTCAGGTCCCCTACATTCCTGCAAAATATTTCCCCACACTTTAGCCGTAATTTTCGCTACCTTTCTGTTCCTTTGCTTTACAAATCCTTTTAAGTAGCAATATGTTTTCCTAATTCTTCGACCCACAACATTATTTCTTTTTCCTTGTCGACGGTTTCCTAATCTGTATTTATAATTTTACATGTCTGGATTCTTTTTCACTGTTTTCAACGCAGATTTTACTCGTTCAAGTGCCTTTTTTCGTTTTGGAGTACTTGGTACAGTTTCGATTCGTAATGTCTTAGATGCTGCCAGGCATGGAAAATCATTTGCATTCATTTCATACATTCATTTACAATCATTTGCCTCTAACTTTTTTCATCAACAGCATTCCGCAAAATGATGTACACACTTAATCACGGATTCCTTGTTCGGTAATTTTTTTTACAGGTTTATAACTGTAAATCACAAAAACTACTGAACATTCAGCTATTCTCAACCAAACTACTGATGTTTAGTAGTTTTTGCGAGAAACTACTGAATGCGGTAATAGTAAGTACTGAATTGACCGTAAAATAACAGATTTACGGGAAATTACTAAAACTCAGTAAAATAGAAAACCGAGTTTTTAGTACTCATTATGTTTTACTGAAACAGTCATCAAACGAAATTCCAAAATTACTGATCACACCAGTAAATTGGATTTCTTTACGTCATCCTCCTCCGTTCCACTTCGCGCACTTGACATCAGAAGTTTTTGTGTGAAAACAGAACATGTTTGTGAAAATTAGTGGACGACTGGAAGGCAACGCAAGAGTTCAGAAACATTCATGGAATTGGACAGTTTCTGCACTCCGGCATCGACTTCCGGATGTTCCATTGACTTTGGAGCAAACATTTTCAATTGTGAGCCTCAGACTATAAGCACAGACAAACAGACGTAACACTTCATTGTGTATCTTCGTTCATGCATTTAACGGTTGATTTGAATATTATCAGTTCCGCGAACTACTCGTCGCAGCGCTGGCATCGGATCACTTTGACGTTTCTATACATTCTATAGAACTTTTATGCAATATTGTTTGCGAGCTAGCGAGCAAGTTTGTTTTCCGCGAGAAGCCCGAGAGATGTCGTTACTGAGGTCATATGTTTTGAGATACTATGTTTTCAAGAAAAACTTTTTCAAAGAGTTACGTCTGTTTGTCTGTGCTATAAGGCAGACAATCTGGCACTAAAAAAAGCAACCAGCTGGCCGAACCACGAGGAAACGTTGAGCACTCAAGCTGGAATATAGCTCAGGATTAGTTTAAACAGTATTATTGCTATTCAACCTCTAAACAAACTCCCCTAAATTGTAAAAAAAAATCCGAAATATTTTATTTATTACTCATTAATATTTATTCAATAAAATACTGAAATAAAAGAAGTGAAAAACTCAGCAAAAAAAAGTAAACAAATAATGTACTGAAAAAGTCAGCAATTATTTTACTGACTAAAACGGTATTTTTTGACATTTCAGGGATTTTTCCATTTACCGAGTTTTCAGTTAAAGAAAAAACTACTGAGTTGATTACTGAAAACTCAGCTGTTTAAAAACCCAGTAAAATATTACCGACTTCGGTAATCTAAACTCTGTGTGTATAGAGCTTTTGTAGGTTTTGTTATTAGCTACATATTTTGCTCACAACTCAAATCTGTATCTCTTATGCATCACGAACTAGAGCGAGAGAGAACTTGTTACTGTTTTTCAGTGAATGTAAAATACATTCACTGAAAAACAGTGGTGGCTTCTGTTCGCTCTGCTTCGTCATGCATAAGAGATACGGATTTGACTTGTTAACAAAAGCTAATAACAAAACCTACAAAAGCTCTATACATCATTTTGCGGAATGCTGTTGAAGAAAAAAGTTAGATGCAAATGAATGTAAATGAATGCACGAAATGAATGCAAATGATTTTCCATGCCTGGATGCTGCTCTCCTCATTTTGCTCGCTAGTTCCAAATAGCATTCGTCAACTGTGTTGTTCTCTATGTCCATTTTAGATGGTATATTTTTCAAAGCTTCTCTATATCGCTTGCTAATTGTCGGGTCTTTAATTGTACGTTAATACGAGATGGCTCCTTATCTTTGCTATATTTAAAATACTTCCCGATAAAACGTAGCCACACAGTAGTTATCATGTTATGATCTGTGTTAACATGTGTCCATTCTCCTTTGATGTACCTAACTTTGTATTTCTTAAATTGGGGAGCAGGAACAGTTTGACTATCACTTATATTTTTGCACCCAGAATATCCTCTACATATTTACATATTTGTACTAGAGATTTGCAAAATTTTTCTTTTCACTGAACGGTTCCGAGTAGTTCAGCTCACTGAAAAGAACTAGTTCTTTGGAACAGTTTTTTTTTTCGATTTTTAGAAAACAGATTTTTCAGGCACCTGAAGGTGGCTGCTTGAAGTTTCTTGCTAAACTAGAATCTCTCTCTCTCTCTCTTGCTCTCTTTCCGATAAGAAAAAAAAAATGTGGAATACTTGTTACTTATCACTTTTGGCTTTATTTCATTCCCGTATGGCTCACTTACTAGTTCATTCTCTTAAGTAGCTGTTATTTTTTGAACGGTTTTCCTATACATATATGAGGGAGTTAAAAGGAAAGACGTGTGAGTGACTTTGATGGAATCTCTTCATCGACTTTCTCTTTCGTTAATAAATCAGCTGCAAACACATTCCTTAATTCGTGTGGCATTCTGGATGGTAGATGAGAACTTCTCAAGCTATGAGCCAGAAATAGCGCAAAATCTGTTTATAAAGTTGTGACTATCAAAAGAGAAAGTCGATGAAGAGAATCGATCAAAGTCACTTACACCCCTTTCCTTCTAACCATCTCATATATGGTTCATGTTTTTCAGATCCGCTCATTCCTGCTGCTTTATTCGTTCGAAAAGAATTACTTTGCTTTACAACAGACCGGTCGTTCATCCGTTCCTTTAGAAGAACTAGTTCTTTAGAACCGCTCCTGAACCGATTGCCCATCGCTGATTTGTACATAAAAAGCATCCATAAATGCCGTAGCATATTTTTCACCAACTATGGACCATCTAAAAACCCCCTGCCCTTCAAAGGCTACGACATTTATGCATGATCCCATATCTTAAATACAAACTCACCCGTTTGTAGAACTGTTTCCTTATGCGATCGTAATCTTCCTGACCAGCCGTATCGTGCAACTGTATCGTTTGCCTCCGTCCGTCCAATATCATCTCAATTGATTCTTTGTCATATCTGCGGGTGTAGGACGTTGATAGAATTGAAATAAAAACAATCATAAACTCAATCACCAAACGGCCTCCCCCCCCCACTCGGTGAGATATCGCTTTTCGAGATTGAAATTGTACCCACAACAGTATGTTCGTTTAGTTCAGGAATCAAAGACATCAATTGAACTGGAAATTGATAACACACATTGGCACCCGTTCGAGTTCAAGGAATTTAACACCCTCACACTTCGGTAATCGGTCCACCAAACGGTTTCCAATTTCAAACGAAACAAATTGATGGCAATCTAACACCTGAACGACAGGAAGACGAGGACCGAAATTCTTCTGGTCCTGTCGAGGTTGGCGTCTTATCATCCTTTCTTCGGTTCTTCTCCCGGACGATTACTTACATCGTCGGTTGGTAGAAATTCTTGAACGATTCATCCGTGTAGGCATGCAGGAGGCAAGTCTTCCCAACGGCACCATCTCCGACCACAACGATGTTGAGGATGTCGTGCGACATGCTGCTCATTTCCCAATTCCTTTGGGGTTGGGACAGCTCACGTCCGGTGGATCTGGAATTGAGGGATGTTTTTCAATTTATTTTCTGCGATTAAATTAAGATCGCTCTACAACAGTGTTCAACCACCCACCGGGAGCTTCCTTCTAAACGAAATGCTGACTCTCGTGTGCTGACTAATATTGGCACTCTACACACTGTATCGAATCACTTCAAAACCACATCCTGACTCAACTAGACCCGTCAGTGCAAACATTCCCCGTCTCAATCAACCAACTAACCGACTGACCGTGCAGACTCACTCACCTGATAAGCGATGGTTAATGGCACAGGTACGTAGCCCGCTTTGGAAGGCGGCGTTGCAGCAGCAGCTCTTAATCGCCACCTTTGGCCCGGATAAATACACAGGTCACACACACACACACACTCACTCTTCCTCGTTTTCCCTTATGGAATCTCTGCGGGGGTCTGTTCAGAAAGTTGCAACTCCGGTTGCAGCTTAGGTTTAGATGCACAGAATAAAAGCCTACCAACTGTAAACCGCTTTCCGGTCTGGAATGCGTCTCTGTTCATTCATTGCCGCTGTTGGCGAGCTACTGCCCCGGTGTGCTGTAAGTAAAGTGCGATTGTGGCTTATCTTATCTAATCATTCTGACTGCTGTGCAATGCATCGAATATGTAGGATCGAACCATGTGAGTGTGTGGTAATTTTGAGCAATGCGTGTGTGTTGTTTGATTGTAAGATAAATCAGTACCGTGAAACGGGGTATCTTTGAAAATGCGGGTAACTTTGATTGTAGAATATAACAGGGCTTTCAGTGGGTCATTTTGTCACTTTTTTTTTAAGGTGATCACTAAAAAGTCCCTATTTTCGACAAAAAGTCACTAAAGTCACTTTTTTTCGCCATTCTCGTTTGCAATGTAAAATTCGTTAAAAAAATAAATAAAAATTGGAAAAAAAAGTTGGAAGTTCATTAAACTAACGAAACGAAAATCGGACAAAAAGCTATTACTAGAGTTCCAAGTCAATTGTGTTAGATCAGTGTTCTTTTAAGTAGCCCTGTGAACAATTTCTTGGGTACAACTTGGAAAGCATTTCCAGATAATTTTAAGGGGAATCCATGTGAATTAGAGGAGAATTCCAAGACAAGTCAGATTTAAAATTTATAAGAACTCAGAGATGAACAGCATGGAAATTTCTAAGGAGGTGAATTCTTTAAAACAGTTTATATTTCAAAGATAATCAAAGGACGAATTTCATTATTTTTTTAATTTTCTGCAGAGAATTTCTGCACTGTGATGAAGAAATATCAAGGCACTGCCAGAGATAAACTCGAATTTATTTTAGAAGAATTCTGTAAAGAACTCTATAAAGGGAAATTCTTTTGAAAGAAATACTTGAACTTTAATATAATCCTGTTAAGCTCTGTAAAGCTTCTCTGGACCTTAAAATACGGCAAGTTGGAATTTAAATTGTTACCCATAACTGAACAGTCTCAAATTCCCATGTTAAATATTTATTTAGTTACAATAAACATTAGAACCTTATTGTAACTAAAATCAAACACTTCATCAGCTTTTGGTTTTATATATAGTTAATCTACTGATTAGTTTAAGTTAAATTTGAATCCACATCTCTAAAATTTCACCAAGCTCATGTACCTGATGAGTTTAAATTTTTATTCTTGTCAATGTCCATAAAATTTAACCCTTGGATCATTTTCGTCAATATCCTAGAACCAGGCATGGAAAATCATTTGCATTCATTTCATACATTCATTTACATTAATTTGCCTCTAACTTTTTTCATCAACAGCATTCCGCAAAATGATGTAGGGGAAATGACGGCTTCGGCATGACAGACTATATTCGGCAACCCAAATTGAAACACTATTTTCACTGGATTTTCTTACGAAAACACTTCGCTGAATGCATGCAAACGATTCTTTATGCTTTCAGCTTCTATTTGACTATATTTTTACCACTGAGAAAAAGCAATCTAGCAAGGTTTTCTTGAAATGAAACACACGCACTACAAATTGTAGCTGATTTCGAGTTGCCGATAATAGAACAGCAGATTTACATGCAGTTCAAATGGAACGGTTGCCGAAGAAAAACTGGTTGCCGACAATACTCGCTCTCACTAGAGAAGATTGGAGCTTAGTAAAAGCGTTTCAAAACAGTTTTTGACAATTCTTTCGACTGAAATTGTTAGAGTAGCTGGCAGCAATAGATTGTAAACAAACCAATACTGCATATGTGTGCGTTCCTTAGAGAAAAAGGCTATAGAAAGAAGGTCGCTGCTTAGGTTGCCGAGAATACGTAAATTCCCCTATAGAACTTTTGTAGGTTTTGTTATTAGCTACAAGTTGTTCATAACTCAAATCTGCATCTCTTATGCATCACGAACTAGAGCGGGCAGAACTTGTTACTGTTTTACAGCGAATGTAAAATACATTCACTGAAAAACAGTAGTGGTTCTGTTCGCTCTGCTTCGTCATGCATATGAGATACGGATTTGACTTGTTAACAAAAGTTGTAGCTTATAACAAAACCTACAAAAGCTCTATACATCATTTTGCGGAATGCTGTTAAAGAAAAAAGTTAGAGGCAAATGAATGTAAATGAATGCATGAAATGAATGCAAATGATTTTCCATGCCTGCCTAGATTTCTAGTTTTGTAGGTAATTCTAAGTAGAATTCCAAGGATTCAAATACAAATTTTAATGAAAATTCATAACAGCTTTTGACGTTAATTCTTAAGGAATTATGTATGAGAAAATTTGGACGAGAAGGAGAATTACACCATGATCATTCTGAGGAAAGCTTCAAGATAATACAAAAGAGAAATCTAAGGACATTCTGAGGATCGGAAACTGGAGCATATTTTCATGTGAGTTTTCGGAGAACTCATAGGATTACAATTAAGTATGAGTACAATTTCTATCGAACCTCAAATGCATTTGGTCAAAAATTCTAAGAGAATATATTCAATTAGAATTTGGAGAATAATTCCAACGGATTTTTTAGGAATATCTCTAGAAAATTCTGAGCAAAATTTCAAGTGGATTTCGAGGAGTATTCTAAGGTTATTCCGGTGTTATTTTTCAGATAATTCAAATGAGAATCCCAGTTGCATTTCGAAGGATTTTTGGGATTTCCTAGCAGAACTAAAAAGATATTCCTAAGATTATTCCATGGGAATTTCAGGATAATATTAATTAAATGCTGAGGTGAACTCCAAGCGAATTTTCAGGAGACTTCTTCAGGCAAATCCTAGCAAGAATTAATAATAATAAAATGAGCATTGCAGAGTGAGTTAAAATAGTTTTCTAAATATGTTGTAATATTTTTTAAAATCATTGTTTTCCTTTACATTAGTCAATAATACCTATCAGAATTTCTAGCTCAATTTAAAATTTTTCCATTATACATTCGGATTGTATTTTTCAAAAATGCATAAAATTAGGGTCTTAGGTTAATGAAACTATGGTACTTTATAGTAGAAACATTCGAAAAAAAAAACCTGGAAAACTCATGGAATTTTATTAAGAAAAATGAGTAGACAATAAGCTATAATATTAACAACAATATTAAAAATCGTCGGGAATCTGGAAGTCTTTTCCATCGTTTTTTTTTTTAAATTCCCATTATATAAGGGAAAGGGCTCTAATGTTGGCCTATGGATCGAAGATTGGGCCCATCTGTGAAAATCTGCTATTTATCAATTTTATCTAGATGAACGCGTCATCGGGACGGTACTAATGGATATTTTTGGTCGCTATTGAAAATTTAGTCGATTGCTGAATTTTTGTATCGGCCCAAATTAGGGGCATTTAGGCCGACATTACATCCATTTCCACTAGTACTGTAGTTTGTATGTTTAAGCTCTATGACCCTTTCCTTTCCATGGTAGCACAGGGGATCTATAGGTTTTTGGTCCGTCTTACGATTATCATTACAGCTTAAATGAGTCAGTATTGATTTGAGTTTCTCTTGTTGTGCTCAATGTTCCCCTTTATATATTTATCTCTTAAGTTTCTAGGAGGTTTATCAAACAAAAAAATATTCACTTGGGAGCTTATAAATTGAGCTTGATAACTTCAAAAGTGTCTTAGTCCTATGATTTTCAAATTTCCCGCATCTTGCAGTTCTCAGACCATACCGCAATCTATTATTTTAAAAGGCAATTGACAACAGAGTTTAAAGATTAAAAAGATAAATAATCTGAAATTTATTAAAACTATATCCAAAATACATCAAATTTCTACAAAGTGCAAGCTTGAAAATAATCGAAGAATATTATCTCAAAAGACACGACTAAGAGATCTTAATACAAATGGTTCATTTAGGTACTTGTTTTCCTTTCTTTAGTCTGACAAGATTGTTTGTCAGTCTGTCAATTGTCAATTGTCAAATTTTATAAATTCCAGGGACTTTCATAAACAATTCCGATCACTCGATATTTTACTCATCATGTCTTATTCTATTTTTCACCAGTTTAAAACAGTTGATAAGCTTAAAGGTTGAACACTTAAAAATGCGGACACATAAACGTTGCCATAAAGGCATTTTTTGAGATTTGTTTTTTTTTTCAAAATTTCTTTATCAAGCTAAGAGTGTATAGAATCACAGCAGGCATTGGTTGTCAGGATAGGTTATTTTGTATACATCATGACTTCACCGGAACAAGCACGTTGCGATCCGATCCTGCGCACTCAAAAACCGAAAATCCCGGTCTATCCGCCCCTGGCAGTTTTCGATCAAATTCCTGGGCAGGAATTCCATATCTCGGTTGACCGAAAGAATGTAAAATCAAAAAGAAATTGAAATTCCCAAAAAGGTTCCTTGTCAGGCGACCATGAACTAGCAAATTTACCAGGAGGAGTGCCTACGGAAAAATACTGCCTTTTGCAGCATAAGGTGGATTGCCTATTCTGGCTGGACTTGGCAAGCTGCCACAACTCAAATTCCACCAAACAGTGTTGACAGCGAAAATGGCGTCACAGTGGTTCCCAAGGAGATGAATCCGGCCAATACTTTCCGGAACTAAGGCCAATTGAGGAATACTGGTCAATTGTGAAGCACATACTGAAAAAAAGGGTGGAATTGCAATTGGCCGGAAAGATTTCAAGCGGAAATGGAATTTGGTAGCCAAACAAGTGGGAACAGGGCTCGTGCAAAAGATGATGGACCATGTACTAAGAAAAGTTTGAGAAATGGCCTATGGTAGGAACGGAAGACTGAATCAATGATTTTAAAATAAGCATAATATTTACAAATGTATAGCTGCTACATTGAACTATGAAAAATGAAACGCATTTTAACCCCCCAACAAGATTTTCGTGTCCGAAGTTTTTCGTGTTCAACCTTTATAATGTCGCTTTCCCAAGGCGACCTAATGACTCATTCAGCTTTGTTCGGTCCAGTAGATGTTCGGCCCAGTATAATGAAAAGCAACTCCTGTTGTAGAAGAATTATGCTTTCTTTCAGTAATTCAAAAATTAGATCTGGGTATCTATATCATTTAATATTTTAAAACGCAATCTCCACGT